AGGTATGTCTTTTTATGAATTGGTTCTTCATTTAAACTTACAAAAATGAGATATGAAAGTGTGTTACACAGTGTATTTCTCCTTAGAAATGCAAATCTCACAGTGCTTTCTAACGTGAAGATTGCATGGTGTAAATCCACCCTCATTCACCACCCAATCCAACCCTAATAAGGGAACAGATTCCTTGAAAAGGAGTGGGCAGGACAATGCAGGGTATTAATTTCATGTACCAATATGCATTGGTATGTTACCAATATGTATTCTAATTTCATGGACCAGTCTGCATTTCCTTTTCAACCATTCAGAGTCTCTGGATGAGCTCAGAGCTAACAGTGACTCTGAAAATCAGTGGAATGGCCTTTATAGGTACATTTGAGAGAAATATTGATGGAAACAGAGGCCACAATCACAAAGGGAAGATGTACATTCAAGTGTGTGGTAATTAAAGAGCAATAGAGTGCTTTAGCATAAATTATAAAACTCAGTATTAATAGAACGGAGAAGTGTACTGTGACCTTTTATTGTAAGATGCTGTTCTTGCATTAAGTGACTCCTAAATATAGCAGCATTCTGTAGACAGACTACTTAGATAAACTGGAGTGGCAATACCATTTCATCTAAAAATAGAGAAACACTTCTCCCTCTAAATACCTAAAGCCTGTACCTGCGGTCTCACAGGCAKCTGAAGGCAATCTGTTTGCACAGTCATGGAAACCGCCTGTCCTGTCCTCTCCTCCATCCCTGCTTGTAAGGATCTGCTCAAGGTGATAACACTSCAATTTACCAATTTACCAAATGGTATTAATCCTTGGTGACAGGCAGGAAATTAGGCCTAATTTCTTCTTTGGCCAAATGCAGTTAAACACAATCCTCTCTGAGGTGTGCTCCGATCATCAGGCTAATATTTTGCTCTTGGATGATGGCTGGAGTAAAGGAAATGCTCAGGCACTTGTAGTACTTGAAGCTGTGTCACTTGAAGAGTGAAGGGAATTCCAAGCTCATGGGATGAGGCAAAAAGCATGACACTAACCCTTTAATGCCAAAAAAAAAAAAGACAACTCATGTTCACGACATGATGCCCAACTGTAGGTGTGGGAAACACATTTCTACAGATGAACAAGGGGGAAAAAAGACTTAGCTTTCTTACGTGTGAGCTGCTAATTACTGTCAATTAAAATCAAAACAAAAAGCCCAACCCAAACCACAGATTTGTCTTATAAAATTTAAAGAGTCTGGGGCTTTTTCATGCAACAGATGGAACCTGCATGTACATCATTAATTTAATCAAATCTGCAGTTCCTACTGTAAGGTAGTACTCGTACAGAAGCCCCAGGTTCCATCTCTCCAAAGTTATGCAAATGATGATGAASAATGACAGGTATTTCTAAAATGTAGCTTATATAGATGTCCACACAAATTGGATTCGTTACCCAGTGTGCAACAAGCCAATAATTACACACTCARAAGWGGCACACACCCCCACTTGGARCTGMTTACAGCACARTTGCTGAGTTKRCTTTAKTAGTTTCTTCCTTATCTTGGGGTTTCTGGCAAACATCCYTGTGGCCCCTAAATTCTGCATTCTTTGTGTCCACAATCAGKGGTACATCCTTCTTYCCAAGCTTGGTTAACCTCCCYCTAGGTCTGAGATYGTTGAAGCATGTCCAGTCCTAAAACTTAACAAGGCAATTCTACCAACAAGYAATTTGYYTTTCTACCACTTGGACATCACTTAGATCTTGTTAGCTGCTACCAGTTTCATATATAATTTGAAAAGGTACAGACATTGTCATTCTTATTTTTGGGTTCCTCTTCCCTGAATTGTACAAAAGAGTGAGGAGGCTACAAAGCAATTTCTACCTTTTGCCCTTCTTTTGGGCTGCAATAATTGCCTTTCATTTTTAAGGTGCTTCCAACTATTAACACCAAGGAGAAAAGAATAAAGATTGCAAACAAGGAGATCGCTTGAAATCCTATGTCATGGGCCTTTTGACATCTTTCCACAGACATCATAAACAGAACTTTCATCCTCAGCCTTAAAAGTAGTCAAAGCCACCTGAAGACTCTTTCAGATTGGACTGTCCTGTTAAACCAGTATCACTGCTGCTCTTTCCCAGAGAGATTTTTCATGAGTTGCCAGTCAGTCACCCGAATTTTCAGTTCAAAGAGCTACCATGTCCTCCCATATCCACAGGAACTCTCACACCAAGGCAAAACATATCACTTAAATATAGTCCCAAGTGCAAATCAATAGAGAGGAGACAGAAAGGAAAAGCAATTATTAGCCACAAACTGCTGATCACCAGCACAACAATCATAAACTGCCCATTCTAGTTGGAGTCTCCAATCAGTTACAGAGTTTTGTTTCCTTTTCTTCTGGATCATGAAGAGCAGCTGCAATGTTATTTCTAATCTGCTTTCAAAACATGGAATAAGGAGGTATTTAAACAGGGAGACAAGGCTGTATCAGCTGCTCTTTGAAGCTGTCTATAAAAAAAGGAGTTCCAGCCGCCAGAACAAGGTAACACTTGCATTCCTGCCTGTAAAATGTCTGGAAATCAGTCTGATTTGAACTTTGCAGAATGTCTGCATATGTGGGTCAGTTCACAAAGCAGGATGCTGCAAAGTTGTTTGCTGTGTGAGGTCAAAGAGAAAGAAATAGATTGCTGAGGGTGRCCAGGAGGCTGCTAGTGGCTGGGAAGTGCTGGCTGAGAGACTATTAGTGACACCGCAGCATCTCAGAACAAAAGGAAGTGTTTTCAAAAATAATCTGTTTTAGCTGGGCAGGAGGAAGGAAAAGGAGCTGTTTGCTTTTCAATCTGCAGTTCTTGCAAGGGCCTTATTCTGGTTGTTCACTTTTAACTACAATCTACTTCWGAGTAGAGAAAGAGTAAATATAATCAGCTATAGATGGGACTCCTGCAGTTCAGAAACCTGCAATTGCCTGCAGCACAGCTAAAGGCATAGAAAATTTAGCTGAGATGTGAGATTTTATGATTGCATTAGCAAATATCCAAGTACCACTGAAGACACACACTACATAAATGGGTTGGAATGGAACTATTCACGGCTGATTGCAGGAGCAGCAGAGGGGAGGAGCACAGGTACCAATTACAGCAAACACAGCTCTGCTGATGAAGGAAGGCTATAGTCTTGCCAGACCAGCAGGTGATTATTCCCCTTCCCCATCCCATTTTGTACAGAGGGAGAAACAGATCGTAGGCACCCACGATGACATATCTCCAGCTGGGCTTCTTTAAATTCAAACTCCATCTGATAGCACATGTAGAACTGATTTTTCAGAGGCAAGAATAATTTTTAAATGTTCTTGCAATGAATAATGCTTTTACAATATATATATCTATATAATTAAATCAACGAATATGAAAGGGTGCCCCAATGAAGCATTTAATCTAAGAACTCTAGTTGTGCCTCATTTTCCAAGATTAATTATCAAAAACTTCTAGGATCCAGCTACAAGAAACAGAACTCTTTTTTTATTTTTTTTTTTTACTACTAGACCAAATTTTCTTTCTTAATAATTCTTTTTCCTTAAAAGAAGAGTGTTTTTTTCTCTTCTTCTCATATGTGCAGCCTTTAATTAGTCCGTTAGACAAAAGCAGTATTAGCTAGACTCTGTCACAATTACCCACATTTGGTAGCTAATTACTCCTTGAATAGTCTTAAGGCTACCAGCAATTTTAGTACAATTGGCAGCCTGGGGCCCCCAGGAGCTGTTCCAGCAGCCAAGAATAGCTGGAACAAGGGGGCRGACCAGCCATGACCCTTTCTCCTCAGCCACAACCTAACATATCTACTGTGCCAAAGGCAAGAGTAACACACAAATTAAAATATTCCCAAGTGGATAAATGTGCTCTCTTTATAGCCTTTTTAAACTAATGGAGTGGCATAAAGGGACTACGGGGAAAAAGAAAATAGGACCTTTTAAATGCTAAAGCATTGGCAGGACTACTAATGATTTTTCAATTTTGCAATGTTCCATTAAAACAACAGTACAAAACACTTATATGGGATCAAATTCTGACACGAGACTTTTATTCTAGTGCAATTTTATTCACTGATGTCCCATATTGCAACAATTAACATCACTGCAATATGGGTGTCAAGACAGTAAAAAAYGCTGACTTGATTTAGTAGCATTTCATATGCATTTTACACAGGTAGAAATTACTTCACAAGGGACACAGCAATGTCTGTGATTTCAGTAAAATTATTCCTGCTGTACACTTGTGTGACATCAGTGGAAGACTAAAATTAACATAAAAATTTAAATGAGAACCTCAGTTTTAAATACACTGCTAATTCAGATTCTATTCCACAACTCCAAAGAGCACTGCTCTGCAAATTCAGCAGTACTGTGCTTGTAAAGGAGCAAGGAATTCCTTTTAAGAAATTTCACAAATTTATGAGGGATCCCTTTCCACCACATTCTTTTCATTTCACCTTTAGTTAGGACTGTTGATGAGCAAATTGATGTGAGTATATGGATGTAGCAGCATTGCAGAGGCTGACTGTAAGATGGACACAACAGCAACAGCTTAGCTCAGCTGTCAGCAGCAGCATCACAAAAAAAGGCTGTAATTTTGGAGAGACATGACCTTTGGCAGCAGTATTGACTTAAGGAGCTTCCAACAAATTTTGCTTCCTTGCTGCCTGTCCTGTTCTCTCAAGAGACATATGACTTTTATCAACACAACTGTCTGTAAGGGCACCCTGTGAATCAGGTCCAGGGAAATTTACAGGTATTAAAGAAAAAATCTGAAAAAAAAAAACCCAGTTAGTCTGTTTAACCTGAATCAGTGTTATGACTCAGTTCCCAAACATGAACATATACAGCAGTATTGGCACAGCTGAAAGGGTTTCAGGAACAAGCAGCTGGCAGTTGAGATGCATCCTGGCAATGCCTGGAAAAAGGCTGCTGCTGGCAAAAGCGTGCATGGAGCAATTCATTTACTGCTGTCCATCTTGGCATGGCTTACCTGCATGTGCACTGGCCAGTTACAGGGTTATGGTCTACAACTTTAAGTTCTGCAATAAGCTGAGGCAGCAGAAATCCTTTACCAGCATTTGGGAAGGAACTTTCTTGCCCTTCTGGGAGCAGAGCAGGGATTGGAGAAATGACAGTGTTCTTACCACCTGACTGCAAATCACCAGCCTAAGGGAAAACAAAAATAAGACATATCAAATCTGGGTTCCACTGAAGGACAAAACTTGACCCTCCTGACTACCTTTGGCAAAAGGTGCTCCTCAGCTCAGTGGGACTTATGCTAAGACCTTGTCCAAAACACTGCACAAAATCCTCTCTGGCTTTAAAATCCAGAAGGATTCCCAAGATAACTCTGTGGTGTTGTGGCTTGAGATCTCCAATCAGTTGTTCTCTCCTAACATAAGAGTCCAAGACTTGAAGAACAGACMAGTGCAGCAGATTCTGAAGAGACAAAATTACTACCTAAAATGGTCTTGATCATAGACTGGATAGTAGGACAGATGGACTGTAGGATGGACAGAACAACTATTGTGGAAAAGAAATCAAAATAAATGTAGTCCAACATTGCAGCAGGTTCTCAAAGGTGTCTTTTCATTCTCTGTCCTTCAGAACCCAGCAGGACAAGGCCCCAGTCAATCTATCTCAAATGGCCCTGCTCTGGTCTGAGATCGACCAGGTGACCTCCAGGATYCCTTCCAATTAAATTATTAAATCACTTCAAATTAAATTTTTCTGCAATTCTGTCACCAAGGAGTACCACATGCATGACTAACGAGGTTTCAAGGATTTGAATTGGGTAATGCTCAGGAACAGTCCAAAAGAGAAGTCAAAAAAATGCAAAGTCTCAGCCTACCCTTTTTATCKCTTATCCATTTCCTTAAGCTCTTAWGGTCACAAAAAAAAMCCCWTATTTTTAACTTCAATTCCCTGCTAAACCATKTCAGGTAAGCACTTGATAACAGGTGGTTTGGAGAAGCTCAGTGGTAAGAAGCAATGTCTGGAAGGCGTAATAGTAGAAAAGGTAGCAAAGCAGCAAAGGTTTTGATCTTGGGTTTTGAGTCTTTCTCCTGATAGTGGAGATCATATGTCTTTTCCCACCTCTTATTTCAAATGCTTTGGAAATTCAGAAAATGTCCATAGCTCTGACACTGATAGTAGTTGCAGGGAAATGGGAACYTGTTTGTAGCACAGGAAATGCTCTCACTCTTTCTTAGTATTTCTTATAAGAGTCCAGAGCTCATGCAAAGCCTTGACAGAAGCCTTAAGCAAGGCYTTAAGTGCAATTCAGGAAACTCTCAGAAGGATAAGGATAGGTATTAGGCCTTAATTTGTCTTTCCACAAAGAAAAAGATGTAAAATAAATACTTATTTATAAGAACAATATTACACTTATTTTTCAGTCAGGCTGGAAGACCTTAAGAGACCTATCCAGGAAATCAGAAAGTGGTTTTGCTTTGCATTACAGCTTTTCCAAGCACTTTTCATTTGGGGGAATTTCTTTCCTACCATCTGTGGGCAAAGCCTAAGTTAGGTGTGTCACTATCATTGTTGTGCAATGAGATCTAAGCACACTGGGAGTTAACAGTATAGCAATTATAATAATTATATATAATTATAAATTGTGTGAAATGTTTCTGTGCACTTTTCCTCACTAGTGCAATGTGAGACTTAGAGGGTTTTTAGAGATTTGTATTTAATAAATATTAATTAGACCTATACAAAACCTATACACATAACATGTTAAGAGCACCAAACTACTGGAATTTAAATAAATAAATACTATGTGTACTCAACATCATATTAACACCAATATCTTACCATGGTGAGAGAAATGGTTCTCAATAAATTCTTCTACAGTGCAGCTTAGAGACAGAGTATTTCTTTGACAGAAGACGAGCCAGCAGTTAGGAGGAAGGGAAACAGGCAGGTGGTGGAATATAGGACTCTGTACATTCCTGAGAAATCAAACCTCTGCATACCAAAAATGCCTTCAAAAAGTTTGAATTCCAGTCTTCCCTGTGCTTTTGCCTTTCCTATGCAAAGAGCAAGAAGACTTAGGAGCTCAACATAGCATTTATGAGATAGACACAGAAGAGGCAGAGGAAAACTCTGACTCCTAGAATGTGGTGTTAGATAAATTCACCATTATCTTATAACAAAATGCATCAGGAGAAATCACATGCATGTTGTTGGGTTTTTTTTTCACATGACTTCCCTACCCACGTAGTTTGCCACAAATTGACAGCCTTTATCATTCAAGGTGATTGGATCCTCTTGGAGTATCTGGCCCAATAGTCTCCTGTACTTCCCTTGTTTTCCGATTTTGTGGTCAGGGTCAGTCCTGAGACTCTGAGCATCCACAACAGTCTAAGAGAGTGCCTTTTATAATGTTTGCTGCTAAGCAGCTGGATCCATTCCATCCCAAGTATACTGGAATCACAAAACAGGACAGCAGTCCTACTTCTCTTGTAGGTAGAAGCCAAATAYATAAATCACCTTTTGGGTAAAGTATTCTCAAATGCAGCAAACTGCTATGTATCATTAGAGCTAAACTTAGTATATTTCATCAGCTTTTGCCTGGAAGTGTTTTCTGTCGATGAGCTTTTTTGCAAAATTCAGCCTCAAAGGGCTTTTGAAGTTCTTCTTGTATACCTTTAGTACTTGCATACAAACTAATGTGATTGCAGTTAGAATAGCATTGCTGGTGCAGATTACATCAGAATGGTCTGGAGACCAAGCCTGTGTCTGGAGTGAGTGATGGGATTGCTTTGTATGAGTTGAATAGTGGTGCACTGCCAAGAGCCCAGGTTGTTCCTCCACAGGAAACTGCCCAAAATACCAATCTCTCGGTACAATCTGGTCCCATTTGGAGAACAAACACAAGCTTTTAAGAGATAATAGTGGTAGAAGAAGCAGTAATGGAAGAATGCTAAAGATACTTCAGCTGTGCCAAGACTGATTTTGGAAAGTTCACCAAAATGTATGCAGGGAAGTGAAATGGCTCTTCAACTTCTAAAAGGTAACTTCTGCATTGTCTAGCTTAGTAGAATAACAGCTCTACAAACTCAGACCTGCATAATAGGAATTCTTGTTGAATTCGGGGCATGCAATGTTTACATTAGATGCATATGTYGTTTATTGATTGCTGACTCCCAGTTTTAGGGGTCTTGCACCTGTACAAGTTTTATTTGCATCACTCTCTGAGTTAGGAGGATCATTTTATTTACAGTTAAACCAGCACTACTGTTATAGATGTAGCCATACCAGAACAAACCTGACAAAATCCCCAGTACATGCTTTTCAAGGGTTCTTGTATCCATACGTCTGCATCTACTTCAGGATATCTTTTCCTATTTTAACTGATGCCCTGGGATAGAGGTATAGGTATATTCCTACCTTCAGTTTGTCAGGGCTAATACTTCCTTCAGTTTATTCCACACTGCCACCATACCCTTTTGCCAGATCTTCTCAAAATTGCCAGCTCCATTTGTTTTCGTAGACTCATGTAGTTTGGAGGAAHAAAAAAAAAAAAAAATCAATGGCAGTGCCAGCTGTCATAATCCCTGCTATTCTTCAGTTAAAACAGTTCCATAGGCTAGTCTAGCATGSACCTAAAACCACTGTTCTAGCCCAAAGACTGCACAACAGGTGCAGGCACAAACAAGCAGCCTGAACAGTGCTAAGCAGTGCTGTCATTGAATTTTGCATTGCAGTCAGCCAGTCCCTGGCTGAAGACTGACAATGCTGCAGTGACAAAAATAAGTTATAAAATTCTAAAGAAATTTAAATGAAAATTAATAAAATCCCAACAAAATTGGGAATTTTTTTTACATGGCAATTTTACATTGCCTCAGCCAGTTTTATATAAAACTTGCTACAGTAAAACTTGCTACACATACTGACGGATTTGGCCCTCCAGCTTAGGAGATCTCAAAAATCATTGGGTTCACACTGTAATGTTCTGGTTTGCTATCTTCACTTCCCACAACTATTGTCATGACAATTYAGCTGCAGAATGAAATGCCAAGGATTCATAATATGACACAGAAGCTACATATTTAAAAGATGAAACATGGTAGGAAACTCAAAATCAAATCCATTTTCTTCCACAATATGGGCCCAAACCTAAACAAGTAATTTCAAGAATTATGTTTCTAACTATCATTATGAGTCTTTTTTTCCCATCTCATAATTTACATTTACACAGAAGTACACTCAAGACAACACAAATCATATTCTGGAACATTTCTCTACTTGCCTAGGGTGTAAAATAGAATGTGAATTTGTGACTCTCCCCTCCTTTCCCTCTGAGGAAAAAATTGTCAGTCWATTTACAGCTAATCAGATATAGACATGCTTTGACTTGAAATATATATTTTTTAAGGTCTACGCAGGGGTTAAAGAATATTAGGGAGGTAGGCTACCATCCTGTGTGATAGGAAATAGCTTGAAGAAATAATTTTGTCCCAGGAGAGGTCCTATCAGATRAGTTAATGTCTGTTAGTACCACTCTAACTTTGTGCTGGATCAGGCATAATTTATCCTGCTCAACTGACAGAAAGCTGGCATCAACCCTGAATAAACAATGTAACATATGCTCTGGCTCATTTGGTAAAAATGCAGTGGTGTGCTCACACCAATACAGATCAAATTTCAACTGCCAGGAAATCCCACATTCACGGATTTTATAAGACTTAATGCAGAACCACAGCCTTATATCGCTTCATTTTTTTTTCTACATATTAATTGTGTTTTAATTACTTTATGATGGGCTCAAACCAAGAATACTTGAAGTATCTTGAAAAGATATTTGAAATCTCCCTCCACAAATACTTGTGTGTAATCAGTCTACTGTAGTATAATGGCTTTTCGAGTAGAGAAAAACAGAATCTCCAGAGAGTACCAATGTCCCTTTCGTAACATTAGTGTAGATGATTTTGTACCTGTATGGTCTGTACAGAAATTAACACACACAAGGCAAAGCAGGCTGCAACATCCCTCTGCAACAAAGATGTTGGACTGGCAGTATATCTGCACTGCTGGACACAAACTCATGTACTTTTGCGTTACTTTTCACCTCTTTGCAGTCACTAACAGCACTGCAATAGAGGAAACAGGCTACTGTAACTTCCAACATCTCGTGGTCCTGCACAGGTTTTATGTTATGTCTGAACACTCCTATGCACCTCTGAATCCCTTTTCAGCTCAAATTAGTACATGGTTGCTGTTACCATTGGAGGGGAAGTTTAGGCTGTGAGATTACTTCTGCAAGATTGCATCAAACATAGATTTTAACAGGAAAGTTCCCAAATCCTTACCTGTGTCAAAGACAACCTCTCTTTCTGACTCTCTCCAGGCAGTTTCTGTCTAATGCCCATCCATCTTCCAATTCTAACAAACTGGTTTTTAAATTATAGTACTGCATTGCCTCTTTGGAAAATGGACTTCTCACTCAGTTTCAGCCCAGTCCTGGTCATTACTCAAAATCAAAAGTAAGACATTGGGGGGAGCAGAGATAACAGATGGATATACACACCCTAAGCCTGCTTTTCCAGTGTCTCGTGTTTTATTTAGTCATACACAGACCTGCTAAGTCAGTGCAAAACACAGGCCAAGGGCTCCTTTTTTAATTTCTTAGTATTATTTACTTACTTGCAAAAAGGTTTTAATYATCAATGATTTGCAAGGTATAGAGTGTACCTCATTTGTGAATTAGAAACTCTGAAGTTCCTCAGATATTCTCAGACTAATGTGTACAGTCAAGAAAACATAACAAAACACAAAAATTACATTCTTCTTCCTTCCARTTGTCCTTCAAATCTTTAAATACTTAATGCATTTATTATATGCACAATAATTACACTCCTYTCATCACAGGATCTAGATTAGCCCCCAAAGGATATGGCTGTCTCTTCTCAAATAAGGCTTGTCTGCATAAAATACCACAGGGAGTACTCTCCCCTCAGAAAAAGTTGGGCCAATAATCTTTCCCCCCAAAAGTTTTAACACCAGAAGAAATATAACTCCAGTTGTGAATGTCTTCAGAAATTTGATCACACCTACACCAAAACCACTACTTGCCAGTGTCAAGCACTGTGAAAGGCCAAACTGGAACTTTATTCAGAACGAGTGGCATTGCTTGCAATGGATTAGCAGCTGTTAACCATCTTGGGTAAATGTCATCTACCTTCYCCTGACATTATTTTAGAAGCAAGTCCCAGACAATGTGGGACCTGCAGAGAAAAACTAGCTATTGTTCTCAGCCACTGCTGAAAAAGAACATGGGTTTGGCAGGCAGGACAACACTTCCTTTCATACTACCAACAGTTTACGCTGGTTTGTAGCCTACTTCATTTTKCACCTTCACTTGAGAAATTGAAAATGAGGATTGTGACAAGGTTTGGATCTTGTAAACTTTTGCTAGGAGTTGTTTTGAGCTGACTCACACTTTTGGGAMGCATCCACTTTTTAAAAATAAATCAGGAAGACTAAAATTAGAAAGACTACGTGTATTCAGATGAGGCCATTTCAKGGAGCAGTTTATTGCTGATAGATTGGCTAGTTTGGTGTTAGAAAAATGCTTTGGAAGCATCATACTTGAATGTTATGAGGCTTTATAGAGCCTGTGGTGCTTATTCTTTAACAAGTTTTAAGTTAGGCGGCCATAAATTTCAGCTGTATAGTGCCAGAATCATTGTAAGGTTTCCATAGGGTAAGGGTTGATTGCTTTTTTAGATGACATGTCAAATTAAACATAAATCTTGATGTGTGCTTTTCTGTGAGCACAGGATGCTGTTATATTTGATCTTACAGGTTAATTGCTTTAACCTTCTTCAAAAATTCTTGCATGATGGCCATTTCTTTATGATTAAGTGAACAAAAAACAGTCTAAATAAACAACTTCATTAATATAAAAAATATAAAAGGAAATGTTTAAGAGCAAGGCCATCAAACTGTCTGTCAGCTAGCAAAACCCTGGTTTTAACTACCMAGTAGAGTTTGGCAGACCAAAGCTAAAGTGAAATAAACTGTATAAATGCACTGGRATAACTTTTATGTGTTAAACTATACAAGTTATTGCTCAGAAACCTTGTAATTAGTCTTTATAGAATTTGTATCTGCACATAAACTTTAGATGCTCTAAACTGTTGCACTTCTACCAAGTGCCTTCTTTCCTCATTTTTCCTCAGGCCATTAAGCTTTCAGAGTTTCTTATCCTTTGTTCCTGTTATACCTGCTGCAAGTTTTGSAATTTGCCATTCCTCTTCTGCATCTCCACAGCAATGTCACTGGGAATGAGACACAGCTCTTTGATACCTGTGGCAATGGCTTTGCCCAGCCTCCCAATTGGCCCTTTCATCCTCTGAGTATCTGCAAAATTAGAGAAAGAGAATTTGTTGATCTGAGATTCCAAAGAAAAATGTTGTCAGGCTTCTTTCTGATAAAGGCCCCAGTTTACAAACTGTACCACAAAGGCTGTGCTGTCTGTCTAAGAAAAGAAAAGGTGTTTTGTTCCAGTAGAGGAACATCTTCAGCCAGTGAAAAGGTTTTGTAGATTCTGGTGACAGTACCACAGATCAGTGAATGTGAGTGTTTTAATAACAGAAATGACCCAGCAAAATTCACTGTATTAAGAAAAATCAACCAAAATTCTGGCTGTGCAATAAATTTGTAAGYAGGATTTATTAGAAAGTGGCAAAGGCTACTGATCAATTGCTGATGTAAATAATCCTACCTGATAAACAAAATCTAACTGTATTCCTCAACTTCCTCCCCTTTCCTCATCAAAAATAGAAAAATACAAAGGGCAAACTCTGAAATAAACATGGACTTTGYCACAGAGGACTTCAGCAATTCACTCCTTGCTATGACTGCTTGCCAAACAGGAGCTGCACATGTGCAGAGTTTACACACAAACGCCCTCCAAAAAGGAGAGAAAAAAAATCACTTACAGGGACAGACTGACTTTTGGTGATTTTGACCCCTGACACACTTTGTCCAATGAAGAGGTCTAATTCTCAGTAGTCTAAGTCATGACAACTCTATCTCAATCTGTTTGCCATAATGTGTGAATGATGCAGTTCTAGATTATGACACCACACTAAAGAAAAGGCATCTAATTGTRTGAATGGTGCCTATTTAAAATATATAGGTCACTACTATGACACATTTACACTTGCCTGTGTATTTACCGTTCTCCCTCCTCAATAATGAGGTGGACTTTGGGAAGGAAGAGAGGCAATAAACTTCTGTGTAAGCTGCTTAAATGGCTTTTGCCCTTTACAGAAGYCAATCTCTCCAGGAAAAAACAACACTGTAAAAGATATGGCTAAAAAAACATGAGTTGGCTTGAGACACCGGTTGTTTTACCTTGATCCTACATAACAATATAGACATGTAAACACAACAGCATTTCTCACAGATAATCCCAAGAGTGAGTCAAAATGAAGAACACCGTTATAAGATTAAGAAATAACAGTAGATTTTTAACCAATGGAAAAATGGAGCCCCGAACCAATAAGTCAGAAATATATTAACTCAATCCGAGCCAAAACCATCAAGTTGGCCAATATGAATTTTATGTGACTGTTCATACTGCATTTTCAATTTTTTAAATTATATTTCTGAATAATTCTGAAGTCCTTCATTTTGTGACATGATATTAAACAATATTTGATAGATCTATATGTAAAACTTAAATATGACACAAATATTTGCAAAGAAATTCAGGCAGGTACTATTTTGAAAGAAGACATCAAGTATTGCATTGACCTCATCAGTGTTTCCAAGCTGTATCAGCTTAAAACAAAATTGYCAGTGCATCCCATACATTAAGCCAGGTTTAAAAATACCCCAAATCAATGGAACTGATTGATTGTTCTATGACTCTAAATTTACTCMAAAATCCCTACATTACTTCACACACAGCCCACCTCCTAATCTATCCTGAATGTTGCCTGTCCTTGTGTGATAAGAGATGTTTCTTCTGCTTCAAAATCAATGGAAAATAGGCCCCAGCTACGAACAGAGTTCAATTTCTGTTCGTAAAGCTGTGCTCTCCTTGTGCTTTTTCCTGAGTTCAGTCTTCTTTCTGTAATAAGCAGTGTTTGAAAAGAAAAAGTGAACAGCATAACTGAGTCCAGGCATTCAACTTCTAATGGGTAGGTTATCCAGAAAATGAGGAAGCAGAACAAGGGGAGACTGCATGTGAATATAGTGATGAGTTTTATTCACTTTCTAGGTGTTCTTCAAATTTTCTTAGGGAAAAAAAACCCTATAAAATTAAATAATTACTCAACAACCAAAGCCATAACACCTGTAATTAGAAACTTCTTYTGTACATTTTTTCAGGGCTTACTGAGCTCTTTATGGGAAACTGTCATATGTAAACTATATTACTACTTTCCTCTTCAGATCAAATCCATGTGAACGAAATAGCTGTGTGTGGATTTCGGAATCTGAAAAATCCTGAGGGTTTTTTTTATCCACAGATAATCCACAGTGCCTGCCTTTCACTCCTTTAATCATATTGCTGTAATTACCCCCCTGACACTTGCAATTATATCCTTTAGCTATACCTGGGGTTCCCAATCACAGATCAGGATCTATGACAGCTAGCTGTCAATGAGATCAAAGACTTGTTCACACCAAAATAACCACTGAGACGTGCACATAAAGAGCAGCAGAAGCAGCACAGTGACAATGAGAGACTTTTGAAAACCATTTATCAGTTGTGTAACTGTTATGCTGTACAGGGACAGATTTTTGTCTTGGCAAACCAGTCAGGCAAGGAAGAAACACTAGAAAAAGTCATAGTGGAGAAACGGTGCTTTCTGGCATTTCTTTGGCAGGACAAGCTAACAGCACCTAAACAAATCTTGACAGGTTTGGAAATGGTCTAATCCAGATATATTTAGTATTTGTCTATTTTCTAGTGTTCAAATTCTTTCAAGAATAACTCYTCTAAATGCAGTCTTTTAAACTACGTCATGTCCTTAGGGCAGGCTCCTGAAATTSCTCTTGGTTTCCAGCTCTTATCTGGGGATCAAAAATAGCCACCGTGGCTCACGGAACTAAGCCAAGGTGCCCYGGCCAAGCCCAGGTAGCAATATAATCTCTTAAGAAGGCATCCAGAACTGAAAAATGAAGATTAAAATGAATGTTTGGAGTTGCCACACYGATTTCTTGAATATTCCTGCCAGGATTTAGCCACCACCACACTCATGCAGTGGGAAACCACAGTTTTTCAAAGAAACATGTAGAATGATTTAGCCAGTCTGTGTGAACTCAGAGGCCAGATCTTTCTAGGAAGGTGGGTAAAAGTAYTTCACATCTCTTAGCACTTTTTTTTTCTTTTCTGAACCCATCTTTGAAATACAAATGAAGTTAAGAGAACACATTAAGATGATGTGGAAGAATCTATATTAAACTTATGAGGGAAGGAAATCCAGAGATAAGACTGCAACTTGTCTTTTTCTCATCTGAACCTTAGCTRTGCCCAGACAATTCAAGCATGTTATAATTCTCTAATAAAAAATGTTGTCAACCACAATCAAGTTGTGACTTGCTCAGATAAAAGGACTTTCTTAATAGTGTTTACTTATATGCATATTAAATAGAGCCTGCTGGGTTAAYGAGAATAGTAGTAAATATTTTAATTGCAGGTCTTTAACTTGCAAGAACTTTATCCTGTTTCCTYACAGAGGTAGTCATTACTGAACCGGCTCAGAGGGTAGAAGATTAAACACCTAATCATTACACAGGGTGTTGAAAACTTGGGGCTTTATGTAAATGCCAGCTATCCTTAGTGTTATTTCCCACTGGGTTTAGTTTCTTGCACTGTCTTCCCAGTCTTGTGAAAACACTGGATCTTCCCAGTCTTGTGAAAACACTGGAGTTTTCCAAGTGTCAGTTACACGATTGCGAATTACTCCTAAAGCTGGTAGTGGGCAGGGATGCTTCAGCACCACGGAGTTACATGGAGCAAGAGCCTTTCTCAAGTCCAAAGTACTCCCTSTACCACATTCCAGCCGCAGGGAGAGTTGCTGAGCCAGGCTTACATTCCCTGGGCCTGTTACACATTCATAGAGTGGCCCTTCTGTATGATCCCATGAGATGGTCAGTGCTGCTTGGGAGCACGCTCACAATATGAGAGGTGCAGAAGGGCGAAATTCTGCTTTCAGCTCCTCGTCTTCTCTGCAGGTGTCCTCCTACTGTGACGCACCGTCTCCCCTTGGAAATAATAAAACCTTTAACAACTCTTTCTCCTCACGTAACYGAGCACACTCACTCCCGAGCACGGGTAGTACGTAACGAGGTATACGAGAGCCATCTATGCGCTAACAGTGATAAATTTCACCGCACGAGAGCTGATCGCAGCGCATCAGCCTTCTGTTAGCAATCACCCCATTTTCTGACAGACAAAAATGGAAGGGCACGTTTACTCCAAGGACTGAAATGCACTAAGCTTCGCCTCACAGCCCGGCCGTGTCAGCCGGGCGGGCAGCGCCGCCGCCTCAGAGCCCCGCGCASGCAGACGTGTCGCTCCCTCAGCAGCTGCCAAGCGGGCGCTGCACGACGTGGCCGSACCGCGGTGGCCAAACCCCGCCGGCCTTCGACCCCTTCCCGGGTGGCGGAGGAGGCGCCTCCCGCGACCCCCTYCCCGCGGGTCCAACGCGGCGCCCTCAGCCCGTCCCGCCGCCCCCGGCAGTTCCCGCCCGCTGCCGTGAGGCGCCC